TCTCTCTCTCTCTCTCTCTCTCTCTCTCTCTCTCTCTCTCTCTCTCTCTCTCTCTCTCTCTCTCTCTCTCTCTCTCTCTCTCTCTCTCCCGAAATAAGGTGTTATCTTAGGAGGTGTGGGTTCTGTGTAAGAGGTCTGGTCTGGTGAGTGTGGACTGGTGTTAGTTTGGCACTCGATATTCTTACTAGTTTGAAGGTTGTCTTTTCCGGAGGAGGTGTGCCCGATATGTCTCACTCTTGTCTTGTGTGGTAGTTTAAATGGGTGTATACGGTCGGGATTTGGAGGTTTGGAGCAGCAAACTCCAGTTCAGCGTCCCGAACGATGGCACCGCCTCTCAGTGGACTCCTACTCGTGTTTTCGGTGAGGCGATGTTGAACGGGTTTGCGGTTCTGTGATGTGATGTGTTTCTTTGTAGTGGTGTTGATGATTGGGTCTCTCAGAAGCTGTAGGTCTTTACTCGGTGCTTCAAGGTTTAGGGTTGCCTTTCTCTCCGGGAGCTCGTGGCAACCAGAAGCTCAGTCCGCTCATACATCTCCTTTTGGCCATCGACGCTACGCTACCTCTGTTCCATCTCAAGACTTTTCTTCTTTGGTACTGGAATCTTCATTTTTTAGGTGCTCTGTTTAGATTAGTTAGATTATCTTTATGCAGTTCTGTTACTTGTCTTCTTCGTACTTCTGTAAAAGTGAAAACTTAGTATAGTAAATTTAACATTTTACCAAAAACTACATATTAATACTTTAAATTTATATATCATTCAGATCAACTATTCGAAAATGATATTCTTGATAAAGAAAAATGTTCATAAAATACAAACACGTATATTATAAATTTCAATTTATAATTAACTATTAAGTTGAACCGGAGACAATAAATATAATATTCTGAAGAGAAATTGCTTAAGATACAATTTTTCTAATACTCATTTCATGTTTACCTTAATCACTTTTACCATTAGTTTTAAAAAGATAAATCAGGTAACTAATCTAGATTCAGGGTGTTTTAGAGGGTGGAGTTTAGAATTTTAATAAATATTATAATAAATGTTTAAAAATTAAAATAAAGTTTTTAGAAATAGTTTCAAAAATATTTTTTTGAATTTCAAAAAGAATGTTTGAAGGAAAAAAAAGAAATAAAAAAAATTAGAAAGCGTTCGAATTTGAAAATGTATAATTCAAAAACTATAAAAATATTTATTTAAATAATTATTTATATTTATATATTTATTAAGCTCGGATATAAATATATTTTGTATTCCTTATAAAATCTCATACTAAAGTATTATTGAAAATGTTCATTTAAAGAAGGTAAACATGAATAGTAGTACCAAATGGAAGGTAACAGTAAATTTTTCCAATTGTGAACTATACTTTTGGACAAGGTAATATTTCATATTCAAATGTTTGATTTTTTTTTTTAAAACAAACAAACATATGTTGTATGAATGTTCTAATTTTCTGTTTCATGTACTAGAAGAAGCAAAGTCTCTGACTTTATTTTTTTCATTTATATATTAATGAAAAACTAGAAAGAGATAATTGAAAATGGCTCAAATTCTGTCATAACCCACTTGAAGTATACTTATTCAATTATGAAATCATGTCAATTTTATTTTATTTTCTATTTTAGGTCAAATAACTTAAAAACATAAGGATTTAAAGATATGTACAAATCCATATCCTTCCGATCCTATCCAAAATCTGACCCATAACCCGACCCAACTTTTAACCCTAATTCTTTTTTTTTTCTTTTTTTTCTCCATTGATGTTTCTTTCACTTCTTCACTTTAAAAAAAAAATCAATTTGTTTCTTCAAATATTCATTGATATTCTCTTTCTTATCCCAAATCAATCAACTCATAGTCATATTTTAGCAATTTTATCTTATTTGAAACTGAATTTCATCTTTTATGTACGAGTTCATGAGAATGAAGAATGCAGAGTATTACTTGTACAACTCTAACTAGTACAACTCAAACTAGTTAACTAGAACACATATAACTAGTACAATTTGAAATTAATATGGTGATATTTTTTTTTTGTTTTCAACGTTTGAATGATGCTATAAATAGAATGATGTAAAACCAATGCATTTTGGTTTAATATTTTCTCACTTGCATGTGTCAAAATACATAAATAGTTTGTTTTCAATAATATTTGTTTTGGAACAGAATTTATTTACAAGTTGAATTAGTTATACTAGTTGTATTATTTCCGAAAAAATCTTCTTCATCTTTTTTCTCCCGAAGCTCGAAGAAAGCAGCTGTGGGACCGGACAAGTTGCAGTAGAAGAAAATTTTGAAGAGTATAGTGAAAATATGATGTAAAATCATTATGAATTCGAAAAGGATGCATAAACATTCATGTTTGATGTTTGCATTACAACAATAGTAATCCAACTTGTACAATTGGTTTAGATACGGTAGTAGGATTACTAGTCTTCTCACATCAATGTCTATTTTTTATATAAACATGAAAATGAGATAAAAGACAGACCAATTGTAAATACATCTACTAGAAGAATATGGTGAAATTTGCATAATAATACAACTTGAGCAACAAAGAGAAAAATAGGTATGATTGTTATGACTAAGTTCTTTTACTAACTCATGGTTGTAGTAGTTTTTTAAGTTGTATCAGACTGAATGTAGTTGTATTCTAGCTATGAAATTTTGAAACTTAGTTGTACCATGTGAAAAATATAGATGTTGAACCACTTTTTACATGTCATACTATGTGTAACATGTTTTGGAATCATCATGTTCTGTAAAATTATGTTTTTGTATTTTGTTCCAAAATTATGTGGCTAGATAAATTAACAAACATATAAGTATAAGATAGATTATGTAAACTTATGTGATGGTATAATAATTGTCATGAAATTGTAAAAAAAATTCAAAAAAATTAAGAAAAATATTTCTTACTACCTACCACTATAAACACATATTAATTTGGTCAGTTGATTGTTTTTTCTCATATAAACACATATGAACTTGTGTTTGTTATAGTGTTGTTCAACTGTTTGAACTTGACAAATTTTCTGCCAGTAGATTATTTTTAATAGTGAACTTAGGTTTGTCATAGTATTATTCAACTTCTTTGAACCTGATAGGTTCTTGGTATAACTAATACAACCCGATTGACTATGGAAAAATTACTCTGACAGGTACAACTTGTACAATTAATTGAAAGAAGGTACAACTGTTATGTTTAAAATATGCTGCACAATTGAAACGTGGTAACTAACCAAAACTTGATAAACTTATGAGCATGTAGCTGTACCAGTATTTTAGTTGTACAATCGTGTACATAGTTGTACCAAGTTTTTGGTTGTACAAGTTTGTAAATAGTTATATTTTGGTCTAGAATTTGAAATATGCAGTGTATCAACTAGTATATAAATATACCTCAGTTGAACTACTTGTATATATTTACATTCCTTGAATCACATACTCTGGAGTCATTAATTTGGTTAAAACATATTCGGTATATGTTTTCAAAAATATAATGAACAAACAAGTAAACAAATCTAAAGTATAAGGTAGATCATGGAAATTTATGTGATTGTGTACTAATTTCGGAAAATAGGTAAAACATCAAATAATTAGGATGGACCATTCTAAGGACCTTCCAACTTGTCTAGTTGGCGGTTATTTTCATATGAAAGCACTACAAAAAATGATCATTTAACATCATTTATTTTATTTATTTGTATTACTTATAAATGATGTAACAAAATTTTGTATTACTTAATTAAATGATTCTGAAAGTGGTAATGCAAATATTTTACATCATTTTAGTAAGAACAGACACAAAAAATATTAATTATTTACATCAAATATTGTAAGTGATGCCAACATGTATCAATTATAAGAAATGATATAAAAATTACATTAGTTCTTAAAATGATTTAAGTATTGACATCGATTAAAATAATTGATTTTAAATAATATATTATTTATTAATGATTGAAGTTAACTTAGTTTCAGATTTTTAAATGATTTCAAAGCTAACTATATCATTTACAATTATTAATTTAACTAACATTCCTATTTCTACATAATTGATATTAAATAATATTATGGATCAATTAAATAAAATCATTTCTATTATCTCTTTGTTTCTTCAAAATAAATCCTAATAAAAGTATACAGAGAAGAAAAGAACAAGAAAAAAGAAATTGATAATTTTCAGAATAAAAAAGATTGTAAACAGTTAAATAAAATTGATCATGAGGATTTCTTCAGTTTTGATTCTTCTTTTCTTTTTTTTTTTGTTCTCTTTATATGTATCCATCTTAGATTTTTCGTTGGTATCGTGAAGCTGAATCAGTTCAGTAGACTAGATCCATTGAAGAATTCTCCATCAGCCATGTTATATAACTGCATATGTTCTTCTCTCAAACTCTTTCCGATGAATCTTTTTCTTTGTCTGCGATAACTCTGATTCTGCAAAAAAAAAAAAAAAAACAGATTAATCATTTTAAATTTGTGTTCCAGTAAAATGTCTTGAAACAAAGACAGACTTGAGAATGAGTTCTTACCATTACTTTTATCACTTATTAACGTAAATGAATATACTTTGTTTTTAGGAAGAACTGATATGAAAATTAAAAAAAAAAAATGATACACAAGCACAATCATATTAAATTTAAAGAAAAACTATGAACTTATCTTAGTCAAAGTGACAAAGGCAGAACATCGTCTTGGTATTGATAGGTGATGAACTACATGTTTCACCATAAACATATTGTTAATACAGAGAGAATGAGAGAGAAAAAAAGTTATCATGAAAATAAAAGTGGGTTTAAACGATGAATGAGCAGTTAGAGAAACATGATATAGAGAACATGGAAAAGGAGAAATTTTAGGTATTTTAATAAGTTACAACAAACATTGAGATTTTTCTACACCTCAATTCTTCTTTTTTTTTCCACTTTTGGTTGATCACCCCATGCCCCCAAATGAAATTTTCTACGTGAAAGATTTTTTTTACTAGTAATAAATAAAATATTATAAAACTACAAATCATAAATGAAATGATGTCAGAAACTACAAGTTATTGAAACTTGGTAATTAACATCAATTTGTAAAAAAGTAATTTTTATTAACATCAGTTTCTCTGTTGATGTAAATGTTGCATCTGTTTTTAATTGATGCTAATAGAAAATTACTAAAGCATCAGTTAAATAATTGATGCTAATCCATATTATTGTGTCAATTACTTAAAATGATGTGAATTAATAAAGAATTGTATCAGTTTTATTAAAGTGATGCTAAAAAAAATTAATAAAACTATTAATGGAGTGAAATAATATATTTTGTATCATTTACTACCTAATTGATTTAAACAAGTATCAGTTCTTTTTGTGATACTATTTATCTGATGTAATTTAACATTTTTCTTGTAGTGAAGCCAAATAGAATTTTAATATTTCTTAATTGAAGAAGTTGTGTCCTTTGTACCAGTATTTCATACCTGGTATATATAAAGTAGTTGTAATAGTATTACTATGTATAATTATACTAGTTGTACCAGTTGTACAACACATAAACATAACTGGTATGTTATATGAATGTTTACTAATTATTCAAGTAATACCAGACAGAAACAACACATTGTGAGTTT